GGAAACAAGCAAGTCAAAAATTAACGACACAACACACCGACGAAAAGCGCACAACTGCTCACAAATTCATATTAACAACACAGGAGTGCTTCCACATAAGGCACATCTTAACAATCACTACTTTCACTTTGATGCCCCCAATTGACTAAATCGTATGCACAGTTCTTGAACAGGTGTGGGTGCTATAAATTTGTGCAATACCCTAGCTGACAATATTTTATTTTAATTTTTATATACTACAGCTTAAATGGGCTATAAAAAATAAGGTTTTATACATTGGATATAAAATAAAACATTTTGAAATGCAAGTTTGTAACATGGAAGGAAGTGTGACAGTTATAAAATTAAACAAGAAACAAGTATTGATAAACACGGCATAAATCCAATAAATGTGTCCAAACTCTTGTAAAGAGTAATGACCTGCTTTCCTTAGGTACTAAGTGAAATTTTCAGCTGCACGAGGAAGGAGGCTCTACCAAAGGCGAGCACACGGTTAAGGTGCTTTACGGCAAAGTTTGTGACTATTCCCAGTAGGTTTCAGTTTATCAAAAGACAGCTGGCTGTGCGTGAGAAGCTTAGCATTCTTCAAGTGAAATGTGAAAGGCATATGGCCATCTGAATGTCGTACTTTCAAAAAATCCAACCCAAACAGTGAATAAGCAAACCACAACAGCTTTAGTGTAATTAGTGTGGAGAAAACTTGTAACTCGAAGAAACAAAAGTTTTCTGTTCATTCTTGCACAGCTTAATGAATGTGCAGTTTGAGTGACCAATGAATGAATGAATCAATCAATCAAGTTCATATACTTTAGATAGTAGAAGAACAGGACTAAATGCTCGAGCAGCTTGATGAACCTCCACAATATTCCTCAAATGCCTCATGCACTAACCAGCTTTAATTTCACTATCAATGAACTGGTATAGCAATTAGTGATTGTTATGAATATTTTCACCTGAAATTACTCCTCTGTTATGAGGGTGAATTGGGAAGTGTTATTGCATTTTCTAACACAAACAAATTTGTAATGCACCTAGTGATTATAATCGATATTGTTTGCATCTGCAAATGCTGCACAATGAGTGATTTATGTCACTGTGAGCTAAGCATTAACTATTGGCTGAGCTAAACCTACCTGGAAAGAAACCAGTGATGATAATTACGCTCGGTTCAGATGTTACAAAGATTCTTGAGACTCCTGCTGTAGAAATATTTCAGCCACTAAAAATCATTGCTTTTACAACTTTCTCTATTTTAATGGCAGGTGTTCCTTGAAAACACCTCGTTTGTGTTAATGTAACTGATATCTTGAAAATTAACAGACTTTCGCTTTGCCCAACCATACGGCAAAATCGACAAACAGACAGGTGTTGCTATGCTACTTAAATCAACATTCAGCCTTTCTAAGCAATCAGTCCAGGGCCTGACATGTTTTCTGCAGGTGTTCAGGGAAGGTCATTTTGAAAAAATGAATCAACTGCAACAAATTTATCCTTTGATGTCGCCATTCTTCAGTTTGACTCCATCAACATATCTTTTACATCTGTCGAGTGTAAATCCACAGACTGTTCCTACGTCAATTTGTGCCTGGAATGTCTACACCTCTGAAGAGAGCTATCAGCTTGGGAGTGCCAGAAAGCTGGGCTTTATCTTCTCGAATTCCAGCAGATAGGGGCATCCCAGAGTCAACAGTTCAAAGCGGAGGAGCTTTAGAATTCTACACTTGCAGAACGTCATTTGCACTCTCGTTTTCAGCCTAATGTGTAAAAACTTATTGGAAGGAACAAGTATCTTAGGAAGAACACCGCTGTTTCAAGCCCTTAAAAGCACTAAAAAATTTTTAAAAATAAATTAGAACAAAACACGGGTGGGTACAAAAGATTACAACCAGCACATTGCACGAACAAAGCAAGCTGTTCATGACTGCTGGTTTAATTCCAGACTGTAATGGAACCTGCGAGTGTCATGTGTCAGGTATCCTATCCAAGCTAATTAACCACAATCAGCCAAAATTAATTTGTAACCCCCACTGTACGATTGTTAAAAACCTAGACTGCTGTCATTGTGATGTTAAACCTCATATTAGCACATAATTTTTTATAAAACTTCTATTCAGTAGCAACGTTTTTCAGGAGAAACCTGTTTTGTTCAAGTTTGGCTGCTTGCACAGGTGCAACGTTTTTCAGGAGGAACTTGTTTTGTTCAAGTTCGGCTGCTTGCAGAGGTTTTTTTTTTATTATTAGTGCTTTGTGGCAATACAAACCACATGAGGTAAATAAGTGCAGGTTTGGCAAATACAAATAGTGTAAAACATTGTAGACAAATACCTATGTATTTATTTATGGGAAATACTTCAAAGTCTCTGTATGCAGTCGTGGGCAAAAAGCAAAAAGTAAGTCAGCTTATGTTTACTAAAGGTGATTCAAGAGCGGCATTTTAGTGGACAACACAGACAATGGGTTTCGCAAGACAGTGTTCCAGGGATGTTTGTTCCGGTTATGGGCGGACTCATCACAACTTGCCCCGCTGCGGTGGTGTAGTGGCTAAAGTACTCGGCTGCTGACCCGCAGGTCGCAGAACCGAATCCCAGCTGCGGCGGCTACATTTTAAATGGAGGCAGAAGTGCTCTAGATTTGTGTGCTCAGATTTGGGTGCACGTTAGAGAACCCCAGGTGGTTGCGATTTCCGGAGCCCTCCACACTACGGCGTGTCTCATAATCATACGGTGGTTTTGGGACGTTAAACCCCACATATCATGATTGCTATCACAACTTTTCTACAAGGCATCAAGAAGTGCTGACGCGAAACCCTCCTCAGCCACCAGAAGTTGATGCAACAGTTGTCAATGTCCCTGCCGCACACCCTCAAGGATCCTATAAAATATGGTGACACAGTACAGCCAATGCTATGAACATGTTTCAGGATACAATATATCCCCAGATGCAACACAATCGATGTACTCTTTGGTGGACATTGTAAACTTTGATCATATGTAGTTTTAATGACGCTATTTGGGGCTTTTCGGACACACAGCACCCAAAGAGCGATTAATAGTCTTTCGGTACTCTCTGGACACCGAGTACTAGACAGCGACTAATGATGATCGCACCATCTAGCGCACGCAAGTGATTACTTTTCACATGCTGAAAAGCAAAGCATTATTTTGGATGTGCAGTGATGGAAGTGACTTTTACTTTTTGGGGAATAATTTAGAGCAGCCATAAGTGTTTTCGGAGTGAAAAGCATGCAGGTTTCGAGCAGCTATTGGTGTTTTAGGAGCAGATACAAATTTTCCTATACACCAATTTGGAGTTCGAAGCATAGTTAAAGCACCTTGTAAATATTATTTATTATAAAATATATTCCATAGAAAACAATCAATGTTAATTTCTAGAAGCAAGTAATTAAAACGATGGTTATCAAAGATGTGCTGTGAAATGAGCTATGTAATTAAACTACTAGTATTTGTAGCACAAATCAATTCAAATTGGCAAGGCTAAGCACCACATTTTAAAAGTAACCATGGTCCCACACAACTGTTGCCAGATAAGCAGTAGATAATTGGTACAAGATAAAAGCAATCCTGCTCATTTTCACATTTCATTACACTATTCTGCAAGTCTAGCTGAAAAAAATAAAAACTGCCAAATGAGCTATATGCTTGATGGGCCTGTTCTTGTCGCACAAACGAGATCAGAGCTGATAATGCTGCACACTAGCTGGGATGATAGTAAACAGACCCTTTTAAGTTTCTTTAGGAGTAAAAGTTGGGCATTCTCATTCTCGCAGTGCCATTTCGGAGCAGGTTTGGAGCAATTTAACAAAACTGACTGTTTGGAGCAGCACTTGCTTCACTGGATGTGTATCAGGATACGCGTTTGCAAGACTGACACTTGCTGCAATAAAGATCTTGGCACTTTGCTAAAACAACTTACTAGCGTGCATAAGCGAGCCACTTAATGCTTATCCATAGTTAAAAACTGCGGTAGTCCTGTTTCCACGCATGTTTTCCGTGCTTATATCGCACTGTTTTCAATTATGCTTACAACAACAGTAACGCGACAGAGGGACTTGTACGTAAGCAGTAGGTAGATGAAAATACGTAACGAGATCTTAAAACCTAATGACATGTGTGACGAGTACAGTAAGATGCTTCGCCCGCACTAACCGGGTGTAGGTCGATGCCGCACCTTATATTTTCACACCGCGATTCGCTCCTTCCCGCAGCTTTGCACAATCACAAGCCGACCAATCGCAGAGTTCAAACCCGATCGGGCTAGATCGCGATCGAAAGTAGTGTATCGTGCGCCACCCATATAATGTCACACGTGCGAAAGTTTCACGCGCAAAAGCGGGGTCGTAGCCGAGGTGGTCAAGGACCTAAGTTTGTATCGAGAGTTGAGCAATACTGTATCTCATTGGCAACAATATTCGTCGAAGTCAGAGAACAAATCGGCATGGGAGCACCCACCAACGCGATGTTTCAAGCGCCGATACTTCGACACGACAACTTTGCAGCGAGATGACATCGAGTTTGCCGACGACTTTCGCGGTGCGCCTCAAAATGCGGCGACGACATTTCGTTCGGTCGCTTTCGCGAGGGCGACTGCCGGTCTGTACGACCAGAGAAACTTCGAGAAACCTGAACGAATGGCGCTGCTACTGGGTGCGCTGACAGGAACTGACACCTGCCCCAAGCTTATCGGTGGCTACCCTCGAAATGCACCCCGCGAGGACGGGATAAGAAACAACAAAAACGCCGCCGCGCCGTTGGGTTTGCTTCGCGGGCGTGCACTCACGGGGCCGGAGCCCGAGTTGTGACAGCCCACCAAAACTCCGAGCTGCACGCCCGAAATGCTAATGCCCCGGCATCAAACAATCGATGAAAAGCGAGGGAAAGGGGGGAACCAGCACACGATCCACGCGGAGCGTGAAAAGACAAAAAGCCACTCACGCTTAGAACCCCGTGTGCGGAGATGGCACTACGCAAACGTGTACGCACCTTGACGACGTCTCCCCGGCTCGTCGAGGGCTGGTCGAGACCGCTCATGACACGTCGTTCCGAAGAGGCAACAGGTTCCGACGAACTCGGCCCGTGATCGTCTTCGGGCGAGCTAGGACTAACCTTAGGGCTTTCCGTCGACGACGGCACGGACACTTCGCCGGCGCGGTAGCTGGCTAGGCGCAGCGCCGTCGCGTCGTGGGACCCGCCGGACGCCGACGACGACGCCGCCTTGTCACCGCTCTTGGACTTGGACAACTTTCGCATGCCGCCGCCTCGGACGTCGTCAGCATCGGGTCCCGTCGCTTTTGCAGCCTGTCTACGCTACTCGCTTTTTTACGACAAGGCGCCCCATTCAACCGGCGACAAAAAACCGCACGCACGCACGCACAAAACACACACAGCGTGGGGTTTGGTCGCCTGTACGCTGGAGCCGAGGTTACCAGCGAGGAAAAACTTTCTCGGCTGCCACCTTTCTCTCGCCTTTGACTCGGCTTGGCATACAAGTTCGGCACGACGGCACAAAGTTCACGAAAACGATCCCGCGTTCCGTGGCAGTCACCTAGTTTTGTCTCACGATTTCCGACACTTGGTTGCCGTTGCTGCTAAGCGGCTTTTAGTGCCGTTGCTGCAGCTGTCTCTCGCGGTTGCAGACGATTCTTCCGAAACAGACGACGAAGGGACGCGCTGGCGTCGAGGCTAGAACTCGCGCGCTCGCCGCAAAAGTTTGCGCGACTTTGGTGACAGTGCGGGGCGCGCGCGAAGTGCGAGAAAACGGTGCTTAAATCAAAGAGGTTCACGGCTTCGTTCCCGACGTCGAAATGGTAACGCTGTCCATCGCTGTCATCTGACGCGTCGTTAGGCGCGGGGAAGAGCCGATGAACCTTGCTGACACGGAACGCTTGCGACACCGGAGAGGTTGGCTGTGCAAAACGTCGGCCCCACTGGGCGCGCACCGACTGCAAAACTATTCGCTACCTTCTGTGGCCAACTTAGACGTCCCGGCTATTTCTGTGACGGCAAATTACTCGATGACACGGCCATTACATTAATTTTGTAGATTACGTTTCATAAACGCGCTTTTGTGCGTGCAGTGCGTCGTCCGCTCTTAGGCCTGGACAGGTTGCGCTACCTGGTTGCAACAGTGCGCCCTACTCCGCGCCTGGGCCCAGCTCTGTCGAAACTTGGGGTCGAGCACTGCAAAAAGACCGTGCCGAAAGTGGGCCGTTGCGCTTCACTTACGCATGCTTCTGCTCATTCCTGGTGTTAGGGACGTTCCTCTGCACTTGAGGCTTCTCGCTCTGCGATTTGCGCTGCAAATTCAAACTGCGAACTAATGTTTTCGCTCCAAATATGCATCCCCCATAGCGTTGCAGCCGCCGGCTGCGGCCATACGCAGGAAAAAGTGTCCCGGCCTGCGTAGTCGCCGATGCGCACTAAAATCCGCGGCCCCCGGGCTGCTACGTCACTCCCGGGGAGCGGCCGGGGCTTTCCACCAGAGCCGCCCGCAGCGACACAACGCGGAGAAAACGCGAACGTCTCAGTCGAACCGCGGCTCTGGCCCCGAGCACCGGGCTCTTGGAATGCTCAGCCGACCCAAGCGGGCTCTGTTGAAGTTGGCTGCACTGCAGGACCTGTAGACCCGTCGGCGCTGCTTGTTTATTTCTTATTCGACATTGTGGCGTTTCCTGTTACCAGAAAGACGACTTCCGTCGCGGCGGTTGACGCCGCATATTCTCCTCCACGCAATCCGCTTCGTACGGCATGATTGACGCCGACAGGATATTGCGGCACCTCACGAGCAGTCAAGAATGCGGCACGCCATGTTATCGGAGCGGTGGCGGTGTGGGCCTTATCTTCGCAGCCACCAGGTTTATAACGTACACGTTCTTTCCTCTCAGGCTCGGAACTACGAATTCACCTCTCGCAATTACTTTTGTCGCTTTCTTTTAATTCGCAGCATTTCTTGACGAGCCAATGGCACTTCGAGCGTTTCTATTTACAATTTATTCAGCAGCCTATGTCTGAGCGTTCTCGCGGTCGCAAATCGTCCCAAAATCACGACATTTTGATTAGGGGCGCCTTAAAGGAACACTGTGCAATAAACAGGTCATTACATAAACAGCACGTGAGCCACATCACGCCCCTAAATTATTCCTAAATTATTGTTGATTCCTCATGTGATTTCCTCGAGGGACCCCCTCCCCCGTCCGGAAAAAAAAAATCCTCTCTCACCCGAAGTTAGATAGGTCTGAGTCACACTTAGGACACTCGCTCTCTGGATTTCGTGCCGACCAGTTGTGCCCCCGCGATCTCCGACGACAGCGCAGCTCTGGCAGACTGGCTCGTCCTACGCCATCTCCTGACGCCGTGAAGCTCTCGCTGAGGGGTGCCCCGTCCTCGGACTCCTTCGACCGTGTCCATCTTTCATATATTCTTACTTCTGCATGTGGGTCTCTCTGTCTCTGCCCCTATCTCTATGCCTATTCCTTTTAATCCTCCTCATCCATTTTAATCCCTCTATACCCCCATCCCTTGTGAGGCACTGTGGAGGTGTCGCATTATGATGCATACAGTTACGGGGCTCACTTTTATCTTCGTTTCTCTCTTTTAAGAATAACTTAATACTACCAGCCACACTTAGAATGCTCTAGACAGGCTCATTCCCCTCGCTGGGATTTCTCATCATCATCATCACCTTCATCATCATCATTTATCCTACCCTCAAGGAAAGGCCCTTTTCCGGGTATAACATAGAGGGGGGGGACAAAAGCACCAAAAATAAAATGGGAGGGGGCAAGAAAATCAATAACATCATAATCATTACTTTGCAATGCTAGAAAAAAATAAATAAAATGTTTGAAAAATACAGAATGCATGATTTCGCTTTCAAAAGCGAGGCAAAGACAGCGCAATAGGCAGAACAAGTGGTATAAATGCCGTTACAAAAACAATAGTACATGAAATAACACTATTATGATGGCACATTGGGAGAAAACATGAAACTATGTGTCTAAATTTATTGGAGTCTTGCTCATGTACTATTTGTTCAGGCAACGCATTCCATAGCTCAATAGCAGTTGGTAGGAAGGATTTGTTGAATGCTTGAGTGGTATCATGTAAGCGTTGAACACTGGGGTTATTAAATAGACGGCGTGAAGTGCGGTTGGGCGGAAGAAACAAACTGTCTTTTAGGTGAGGGAAATTAAAATACAGTTTGTGGAAAAGGAAAGTTGTGAAATTTTACGCTGAAGAGATAGACTAGGTATGCTGAGGGAAGATTTTATGGAAGTGATACTAGTGTGCCAGTCACATAGTTTGGAGCAATAAAACGCCCTGCTCGATTTTTCACAGCCTCAAGTCAGCCAATAAGATAAGTCTGGTGAGAGTTCCAAATCGCTGAGGCATACTCAAGTTTCGTCCGAATGAACGTTTCGTATAAGCAAGTTTGCGGACATGGAGTGTGGATAGAAAAATTGATCGCTTGAGGGAACCAAGCGATTTGGAAAAGTCTTTTATAAGGTTAGTTATGTGCGCAGTACATGTGAGTTGGTCGGTGATTGTAGCTCCGGGGCAATGGTAAAAGTTCTACTTGGGTGAGCGCCGAAGATTTGAGAGTCGTATCTCAACAGAAATTGATTCAAACTGTCCGGACTGCAACGAAACTTACTGTTCTTTAGCGCACATGCTTTGGCGATGCCCCGCGTTACCGGTGAAGGCGACTGGGAGGAGGCCTTCCGGAGTTCATCGCTCCATACGTAACTTCAGGCAATCCAGAGGGAAAGGGCCTCAGGGTCTAATATAGTTCTCTGTCTGTCTGTCTGTCTGTCTGTCTGTCTGTCTGTCTGTCTGTCTGTCTGTCTGTCTGTCTGTCTGTCTGTCTGTCTGTCTGTCTGTCTGTCTGTCTGTCTGTCTGTTTTGATTGATATGTGGGGTTTAACGTCCCAAAACCACCATATGATTATGAGAGACGCTGTAGTGGAGCGCTCCGGAGATTTTGACCACCTGAAGTTCTTTAACGTGCGCCAAATCTGAGCACACGGGCCTACAACATTTCCGCCTCCATCGGAAATGCAGCCACCGCAGCCGGGATTCGATCCCGCTACCTGCGGGTCAGTAGCCCAGTACCTTAGCCACTAGACCCCCGCGGTGGGGGGTCTGTTTGTTCAGTCGGCCAAACAACGCTTGGCTCAGGCAATCGAAAAAAAAATGCAGTAGAGGCATACCACTAGTATATTGCTTCGCATCTATAGTATTGACTCGCATTATGAGTGGGATCTGTCCAATTTTGTTTCTAGCAGAAATTAAAAGCTGGTGTTTGGAATGCTACGTTTTGTGCATAAAGCAAAGAAAAAAAAGTTCATGACAATTATTCCCTTCAATGCTGACAAACTGTAGAGCTAACGCAAACTTACAAAGTTACCACGCTCGGTCGCCATTGGATGCAACCCGGGGCCAGGGAGTTCAAACACAGGGCGCCAAGCCTGGGAAGGAGTGCAAGTTTGCGCTACAGCAAAAACATCAATTACAAATTGTTTCTTCTTTTTCTTGTTTGGTCTACGCTTCGCACCATTCAACTCCAATGGTTCAGGGCGTAACCGGGGGTGGGTGGAGGGGGGGGGGGGGGCGGAACTTTTTTTTAATTTTTTAAAAGTTTGCTTGCGTATATTCACACGCACACATACAAACCCACGCAGTTCATAGAGTGTGGTTGAACAGGTTGAACTCCTTGCCCGGACAACCAAAAAAAATTTCTGCCTACGCTCCTTGTACGGTTCGTCGCGCGGTGACTTTATCGCGTGAGTCAACGCCAATCGCTGGTCGCAGCAAAATTAGTCGCGTAACCATCCCCAACCGGGAAACCTCACTTCAAATTTTCTCCTATTTTTTTTTTAGCTTCAGCATTAAAAGCTTCACGATACTAGCGACTATCTTCTGATGAAATAAATAAACGTTATTGAACATCTATCGAAGTCCAACTTGAGCAAAAATAGTGTAGTTTCTAACTCCTAGATGACGGGGCAAATTGTAAACCACGTTTAGTTAGAGCAAATATCTTTAGTTTTAAGGCGCAAGATTTGTGGTGAAATTATTCACTGGGCCAGCGTAATCGACCATAGCCGTCTGGCCTGTCTTCAACTTTCAACAATTCCAGAAAAAAAGAAATGGTAACGCTCAAATTATTGGTTGTCATCTACATCCTATATGAATAAAGATTACAATCAATTTATATGTTACAGTTTGCTCAAAATAGAGTTTTTTTAACCTCATAGATGACGCAGCAACTTGTAAAAAATAACTTAGTGCCACATTTGCGTTACGCTATTAAGCTCACAGATTGGAACGAGTTCCTCTACTAACCCTTGTCTTTTGAAACCACCGCGAAGGCTGGGCTGGCGGCCGTCGTTTGGCTCCGCCTCCCGTTGAAGGTCCACAGCGAAGTCCCGGGCCCCGGGCTTGCCCGGGGTCTGCAGAACCTAGATGGCCTCACCCTCGCCTTCGCCGCTGTCAGCCACTAGGTCACACGGTCGCGTTCCCTTTCTCCGGTGCTCCCTTACCGGTGTCGAGCAGCAAATAGAAATGCATCGGCGAGACGGCAAAGAGACGAAATAAAATAGAGCACTCAACAGCCGCACCAGCAGACGCTTCGCTTTCACTATCATGGTTGTGCATTTTTGTTTTTTTTTGTAAAAAAATTTTGCTTTTACGAAAACATTCCGAAGCAGCATCCGAAAATTTTATCGCTACTCAGCGATCCCAAAATGCCGTCTGCAATAGTCAGCCCGTTTTTCGTCTGCTATGCGGCCGCTGCAACGCTAACATCGGGTGGGCTCTTTATTAAATAAATAGAGAGATAACTAGAGAGGAGGAGGGAAGAGAGGACGCGTCCCTGACTCGGCGCTCCAGCCGCTGGCCGAGGAGGACGGCCGGGAGAGGGAAGAGGTAAGGAGCGTAGTAAATCTCGCGCTTCCCGAAAAGTAGGTCAATGCTCGGGGAAATGCGCTCCGCTTAGTGCACACAATGTTGGTGTTCGCATTAAGCGATGACCTCGCCACCCGTTCACAAAACGCGGCGGCGCCGGAATGACTCGACGGCCGCACTGCAGCGCCGTTCAGTACGGACGGCTCGTCGCATTGCACGTATTTACTTGGACGAAGGTGCACCCACGGCCATGGAGCGTTGTACTACAAGCATGTTGCATACTGTGCACAGCTTGGCGCTCAGGGGATGCGGTTGTCCGCGCTCAGCTACAAGTTGCGTACAGTCGTGTATATGTTTCTTCTTTTATACGCACACAGGTGTTATTGCAATCAGTCAAGTTTGCACAGATCAGCTGCATCTTCAAGAAGTTTACCTTGAATCTGAGAAAAGTATTGCAGAATTGTATTGAGAAACGTAT